AGGTGCCACGCTACTAGTAACAGGTGCCTTACTAGTAGCAACAAGAACGCTACTAGTAACAGGTGCCACGCTACTAGTAACAGGTGCCTTACTAGTAGTAACAAGAACGCTACTAGTAACAGGTGCCACGCTACTAGTAACAGGTGCCTTACTAGTAGTAACAAGAACGCTACTAGTAACAGGTGCCACGCTACTAGCAACAGGTGCCTTACTAGTAGTAACAAGAACGCTACTAGTAACAGGTGCCACGCTACTAGTAACAGGTGCCTTACTAGTAGTAACAAGAACGCTACTAGTAACAAGACGCTGGAGTTTTTGGCGATTCAAGTTGACGCCATGTCACGTCGTCACGCCGTCACGTCGACGCCAGGCTCGATCACTTGGAGTTCGCTGTTCCAAGCACCGGTCATTCGTTTCCAAGTCTTCCTCGGACCACCAGAGAAAGGGTTGGGACCTTAGAGGTAGACACCACAGGAGACATGTTTGTGGCACCTTATGGTCAGCTTCGATGTCAGGCATTTTGTGGCAGAAGTGTTGGCGCACAATGGCCAGAACTATGAGGCAGCACAAACATGTTGCCGCGCTGGGAATATGCTGAAAATAGACTCTTGCTGAGATTTGTAGAAAGCAAGAGTTGTCCTTTTGGAGAGTCTCAATCACTTGAGCAGTGGGAACTGTGGACTGTAGGCTGTCCTGCCATTGAACACAGAGCTGAGCAACTTCAGCTTTGCCGCACCCTCAAGAGCTCTAGCTGACAGATACGGCAACAGCCTGCAGCCGCTGGTTTTGCACCCCCCTTTTTTCACGAATTTCTTGGCTGGACCGGACCTGTGAATGTTTAGAACTTTGACATGTTTGGCTGACATAGCTGTTGCATAGTTTAGTTGCGTGAATTACTTAAGAATTTTATTCCCTCGGAAGGTAGTAGTGGCAGCGGCAGTGTTCACTGCATTGTTTGGTGAAGTCTGTCGGAGGTGTCAGTATTTGCTTCTTCCGCCCTGGCACAAGCGACACTGGGTGCCTTTGCCTATTTGAAGGATGTGGTGGCGCAAGCGCCTTGATTGCAACGGGTGAACCATCCTTCAGGAATCCAAACAGCCATGTCTCAACCAAACGAAACAGCCATGAGCCTACAGTATTTACCCCAGTGGTTGTTGTTCACCTCAGACAATCTCAAAGAAAGGATTTGTTCATTGAACGATGAAAGATGGGTGTTCAAAGGAAACAACCTAACGAGACGACAATCTAACAATTGCCAGAATATCTAGGAACCGGGGACCGGAGCCCTTCTGCACCCTTGCATGTGGTAGCACCCATTTTACCCCATGGCCTATCGCGCAAAAACAAAGGGTCTCATCTGAGAACAAGAGAGGAAAGAAAGAGGGTAAGGGCAAGAAGCTACTAGTAGTAATGCCCTTAGCTACTAGTAGTAATGCACCTTGCTACTAGAAGGTAAGTGCCCCTTTAAGAAGTCATCTACTGAGTCGCTGAGTTTAGGTGGTGAGTTTGAGCTTCATCGATGAAGATTTGGACGCCTTCCAGCTGGGTGGCATTGTTCGTTGGGAGGAGTGCTCAACACGTGATGTCGTGGGCAGATCGTTAAATTTGTTTGAGACTGATTTTAACTTAATGTGTTGCCTTTCCGATTTGCTTCAAAATGTGACTGGATGGTTCAGTGGTGAAGGAGCCAATGGATAGCTCTCGCGTGGTGAGCTACTCTGTGGTACTTGCAGATCCAAGTGGAGCTCAACAGGTAGCAAGTCTAGCTTGTTGGGGGGATGCAGGTTCTATGTCATCACTTTTTGTACGAAGGCAACATTTAGACCGTTGGTTTCGTTTGACGTGAATGAACCTCCGCACTTCAGGTTCACGTCTTTATGACTTCGTGTTTGTGGGAAGTACTGCGTTCAGCCACTGTCTACAGACCACAAGCATCCACATGAAACGGCTGCAGCTTGCGATTCAGCGCAGACAATCGTCGATACCGATACCCAAACGGACATCGTCCCTTGCCGACAGGTGCTTGCATCGACCAACGAGACACAGGCGGAAAGATCATCTGGGAGTACACATGTATCACATGTTGACAACTGTTTACAATTCTTCAATATATTGTTCATCCTGTTTTTCAAAGAAATGGTAGCTTCCTGCAACAGTTGCATAGTTGCATTGCACATAGTGTTCTTTTTCACCTGCGTAGCCGTCTCTTGCCCAAGTGCTCCAGAGTCAAAGCCATGACAGTAGGGCAACAAACTGGTGAAGGCTTGGGGCTGCACCATTTGAGATTCAATCATTGGCATGTGGGATTCCACAAACATGAATGCACCGGATGAACAGGATTGGGGGTGAAGTGAGGCCTGTACACGACACATCTTCCATGTGCCGTCGGAAACATGGGAGGTGACAGAGGTGAGAGGTCAAATGGCAGTCGAGTGCATTGGAGCCAAAACTGAGCCGGACGAGGCACAATTTTGTAGACTGGATGCTTGTTACTTGTCTTCAGCGCCATTTTAAGCCAGCCCTGTGATACAGTAAGAAAGGGGAAACAAGCAAGCACCAACTCTGATGGCTTGCGCGCAGGATGGAGAAGAAGTGCCTGATGAATTCGAGGTCAATCGAGAAACATACTTTCTAATTGTGTTCATTTTCGGAAGCCACACACACATATATATATATATATATAGTGAGAGTGAGAGTTAGTTGTAACGATGGTTCACAGTGGATGAATTGAGAGTGCTTTCTATCACCGATTGCACACTCGTTACCACCACTTCAAGTTCTTGGGTAGCCTGGGTAGCCTGGGTAGCCTGATTGTTTGCTTAATTACAAGAACTCTAAGAATGTGAGAAGAAGAGCCGACAAGTCACGGCGACTCTCGCCAGGTTACCCTGGAATCACTTTTGGCAGCCTCTCCTGGCTTTGCCACACGTGTCACGGTGGCCTTATGCCTCAGCAATGCCTCAGATGCCGCATCTCAGATGGAGAAGCGGTTGGTACAGTTTTGATACAAGGAAAACAGCATATGAGGCAATTGATCCTTGCATATTTCTGCTGTAGGCACTTGCCAAGGTTGAGACGCTCTCTTTGGGATTTGCATTGCCACTCCTGAACTTTGGTGATCTACGTTGGCCTGCTGCGGCAGTATTCTTTGGCATGCTTACAGGCGGATGCGCCGCAGGTTGGCTTGCCCTTTGCAGTGCTTGGATGTTGTTTCTTTTTTTGCTTTGTTATAAACATTGGCTCATTGGCACTTGCCCACCGGATTTTTTCTATCGATTTGGGACGTTCTGCTTCGGGTCCGGATGTGTGGCAGGCACTTTGGCTGAGCGCTTTGGTCACAAGCGGTTGCTGGTCATGATGCTGTACCTTGAGGCTTTAGCAGCTGTGGCCACAACAGCAGCGACCTTTGGCCCACGAGGTGATTTTTTTGTTCAGCATTTCCACGCCCTAAGAGAGAGAGGAGTAGTTTGGGAGTGGTGTCAATGAATGGTGTCGCATCAAGGAGAGGATCATGGCACTTGACCCTTTGTCGCTACATCAGCGGCGTTGCCATTGGCGCAGCCGTTCCCCCCCATTTTTGCGTTGGCAGAGGAGTTGATCCATCCACGAAAGAGGCGGCACCGAAGCCACCTGGCGGCATCGTGCCAAAACCACACAGAAGGAATGTTAGATGTTTGACATGAACAAGATAGGCAGGTGTGGACTGTAGAACATGCATGAATATACCTGAGTGGGTCTTGAGGATGAAGCATGGTTGAAATCAAAGCCAACAAGAGATGCGCTTGTTGTTGAGGTCTTAGCTTGATCGCATCATCCTTTATCTCCGGTAGTGTCTTAGTGTCGCTCCTTGCGTGGCCGCTCTCATTGGGATGGACATGGCAGGCGTTCTATGCAAGCACAGGCGAACAGTGTCGTTTTGGGGTAAGCACCTTAAAAAACGTTAGTCTAAAGCAGAGATGAGTCACGAGCCAAAAGCAGGTACGGGTACCGGGTACGGGTCTTCATGTCCATCTCAGTTGTCATATTGGCAGGGTTGGTCCCGTTGCTCAATGCTTTTCTGGTGAGCTGCTGGATACCAGAGTCGCCAAGCTTTCTTCAACAACAGGCCCGGGCCAATGATTTTCTCTGGATGTGGCGGCGCTAGCATGTGGTGCCAATGATGTGGAACCTTTGTTGCTCCACTGGGTGGGCATGTATTGGTGACCTCTTTCCTTTTTCTATCGGATTGCCTTTTGCGCTTCAGGGTCGCCGTGCCGAGCTCTTGGGCGAGCTGCAACACTTCGCCGGCTTGCGAGCCGCAGGGCCGGCCTTTCGAGTGGCCCAGGAGATGAGCTGGGCCGGTGATGCCGGTGACGTGACGGAGCAGCGGCACTAAGCATGGCTTTTGCTCGGTCGTGTGTTGTAAAGTGAAGAAGTGGAATCTTGATGCGGGAGTACATTCACACTTGCATAGAGCTTGCGGTTGCAAGTTTTATGTTCACAGACATTCACTAAAATGTCCCCCCCCGGGACATTTTGGCTCAAGGTTGGAGGCAACACTGTTGCCTACAGGGCCTACAGGTCTCTGAAAAGCTCACGCCCATAGGCCCATAGGTCTTCTTTGGAGGACCCTTGCACAACCCAAAGTCTTCTGACAAAAGGCAGCCAGCTTGCTCTTTTGTGCTCTTGGGATGTTTTTGACTTTTGGGTACATAAAACAATCTTCACGGACAAGAACTAATTCAGAACACTAAGAATCTTCTAGGGCGAGTTTGGCCATTAGGAAGTTCACCAGAATCAGTCTTGAGATGCTCAGTGGCTCAGTTGAAAAATACGTTCCTGATTCCTGATGGAGCCATACATTGATCAGACCTTTTTTTTGGGTGTGTCCCGATGCTACGCATATTTGTCACCTTTATGCAAAGCCATGGATCACAGTTGACTGAATCGGATTGCTAGTAGGTTCAAATTGTAAGTCTGTTGTGATCTGTTGTGAGTTCTTTCCTGTTGGGCCGTAAAACTTTGTCACATGTGCACAGATGTCTCATTCCGCAACAGTGCATGCACCTGCTACCAGTGCAGGAGGCCAATGATGGACAAATTCGGGTGATAGAGGAAAGATCGATCAGCATCCCAGTTGCAATGTTGCAAATAAGGGCTGAATGGGGCAACTTGTGACAATTTGCATTTGCAAGGCCACCAATGGCCCCTAGGCTAAAGCCCTCTTTTGAAGCCGAACCACCTGCGAGCTTTCATTAGTTTGACTTGGAGTCACAACAAAGGCTGTGTGAAAAGCAAACGATCAGCACCCTGTAAAGCTACACCGAGCGAACGTGTGCAGAGTGATTTGTCAGGTGGGCGACTTCAGCTCCTGAGAACGAATCACGTGGTCCTTCGCCTGGCAGCGATTTGTTTCTCCATCGCTTTCGCATGGTGCGCCATGCTTCGCTCTTCGCTGGGGGGAGGTAGTTCAATTGGGTGCGTGGGTAGTAAGACGATGTAAGAAGTACTTCCGATGATAAGGGTGATAAGTAGACCAAGTAGACAAGTCTGGTAAAGCTGAAGCAAGGAGTAGAAGAAACTACTCGGCTGAAGGCGGTGACGGTCGAACCTTGAAGCTTCCTTGAAGAATCCTGAATGTCGAAAAACGATTCCAACGAAACCATTTTTTTTGAAGATCGCCGAGCATGTCCTTGCTTTCGGAAACATGTCACAAAGAAGCCACGAAGACGCCAGGTATGGTCTTTCGACCTGGCTGCTCCAACTCTTTGAAGAGGTAGGTCTAGAGCATCGGTACCTGGCTGCGATGCTTTATGCTCTTTCAGGCGGAGACCGTCCGTTTTGCCAGACTCTATGTCTTTGAGATCCTCCGATTTGGTCCAAGTCTGTCTGTAGTTCTGCCACTTGAGCTCAAAGAACCTATGACAACCGAGAAACAGCGGCATCAGGACAAGCAGATGAACTAGGTGATGTTATCGAAGGATTTCTTGTCATTGTGAGCTCAGCCTTGTTAGGTGTGCCTGGTTGTGTGCTGGCGATGCTGCTTCTTCAGTTTATTGAACCACCGAAGCTGTTGGCTTTTTGGCTGACTTTGACCGCACTGAGCTGCTTGAGCATTGGTCACTTGCCGAAGACAGTCCTAGGAGACCTGCTCAACGGAAGGACGCAGGAAGGTGGCGATTGCCCCTGCTCAACCGAACTCAGGCGTGAATAGAACCGCTCTCGGGCGTTCTGCGGGCACCTGCAAACCCCTTTTCCTTTCCTACTCAGACTTTCGATTTGACGAATCGTTCAACTTTAATGAAACATGTCACATCATCAAATTGTCAGACTGCATGGGGACTGTTTTGAACGGGACACAGACACTTTCGGTGAAAAATAAAAGGAGCGAAACAAAAGCTCAAAGCAATGCTGCTGACCCAAAGATCGCACATCGAAGCACCCAGGAAAGAACATCGAGACAAAAGCCGCACATCGAAGCGCCCAGCAACCATGTCTCATCATGTCTCCGAAGGCATATAGCTTCAGCGTAGCTGCATAGACTTGCCCTGGCTGCGGAGATTGGAAACCGAGGGGGCCTTGTTTGAGGAGATGAAGTGTAATGCATCAAAACATGGCCATCCGACATTGCCATTGTCACAAATAGCCCACCAAACCATCATGGAATCATGGAGTCCGTAGACAGCACGACAACCCTAGAGTTTCTCTCCTGTGTGCTTTCTGCGGCCTCCCACAATCAAGGCTTCATCCAGAGCCCAGATCCAAATCAACGGCGACCAGTCCTCGCAGCATTTTTTGTTTGTTGCTTCAACAGTGTCAGAGCCTCAACCTGACAAATCAGACATTTCTGCGCGTTTCAAAGCGAACATGCGGAATCTTTTTGGCGAAACCAGTTGAGACCAAAACCGGTTCTGCATTGTGGCATGCTAGGTTTCTACTGCAGTGTTCAATGTCCTGACCACGCTGTGTCTTGCCTCATCAACAGTTGTTCAACTTGATTTTACGACGACTTGTTTTGATTTTCTCCAAGGTTTTTCATCCTGGTAGCTGAAGTTGAGAAGTTGAGATCGTTTCGCAGCTGAGGTGGGGAGCTCCGTTTTCGTCCTCGTTACGACCCTTCGCACTGGGTGCGCTCTCAGCTTCTTGGACTCTCGGGCAAGTGCGTGTAGTGCTTGTGGCGTCGCAAAATGCTTGGCCTTTTGATGGACACCGATTCTTTTTCAGGTTTGCATGCGCCTGGGGTCTATTGTGGCCCAATTTGTTGATGCTGCACTGATCCATGGCCACATCACTGAGATGGCCTTGCTGCCTGCGGCAACTCATCTAGCAGCTGGATCTAGCTTCTGACCGGGTGGGGAGGGCGAGCTCGATGTCAACTCTTGTCGATAGTCTTTCGGCAAAACAACAAAGCTGTGTGCAAGATCGATAGTCCTTTTGCACAGGGCCAGTGACAGGTGCGAGAAAGCCATCAAGGCTACGTACTGGCACACATTGCCAAGGTCTTGCTTGGAGTTGCAGCTGCTGCTTGCTGGGGAATCGCTCTTCCGCAGTAGCTTTGAAGGAAGCTGGGCTGATAAGCAAATGATATATGTAGAGTTGGTGTTGTGTCGCGGAACATGTCCTAGCTTGCAATGGCCTCCAGCCTTTGCGTCACTAGGCATTGAAGAGGCTAGAGGTTGGATTCAAGCTGAGCATGGCCAATGGAGAGAAGGAGCCGGAGACGCTCGACTTGAGGCATCCGTGTTCTTTCACAAGCTGGATGACAAAGCTTTGCAGGGTCCTTCGCTGTGTTTTCCTGTCAAGGTGCTTTTCTTCGCATGAAGATTCTCTAGGTGTTTGGAACAGCCGCGGACTTAGAGGGCATGCATGCGGGTTGTTGAGCTTTGATATTTTTCTGTTCTTGGGTCCTTAGGTGGTTCCATTTGTAGCTTTCAGAGGGAGGGTAGACCATTGAACAGTCCTCAGGTTGGAGACGGAGATCCAACAAAGTCTTCATCCGACTCTTCGATAGAGCAGGAACACTGTTCTGCAGTTGTTGGTGATGCACTTCCAACCATGCTGAATTTACAGATGTTTCTGTCTGCCGCAAGCCTGGTAGTGAGGCAGTTGGGTGGAGAACTGCATTGAACAGAATCTTGAACAATCCACACAAGTCTGTCTATCCTTTAGTTGGAAACACTTCATGGATCTTCATGGTTCATCAGTGCAGGCGTTGAACCAGAAAATATGCCCAGATCAATACTGGCAGCACTCTGTTTGGAGACTTGGCAGCACTGTTGGATTTGCAGGATATTTTTGAAAGAGCAACATGCAAATCCAACTCATTGTCTGGGAATAACGCAGCTTGCTTGCGGAGGTGAAGCAAAAGGTCAAGATGAAGCCAAGTATGGCAAGCTTGTGGCTAAGTATGGCTTTAGCCACAGCCAGTTAGGCCTGAGTATGCATTTGCCTGTGTGCCAAGCAACGAACTTCCATGGGAGCCTTTGATAGTGTTTCCGTTTTTCCAATGCCAGACGATGGATGATGCTTTACTGCTTTTGCGTAGGCGAATGAGCCGCTGGTTGACCATAGCTTTGCGCCAGGGGTGTGACCAAAAGGACAAATGCGGCAAAAAAGAGAAGCACAGAGTTGGATAGAAAGTATCTTTCACTCGTTGTGCACTAATTTCACTGCAGCTTTGCAAAATGTGCTGATTATTGGATCT